TACATAAGGAGTTGGGTAGATTTAGTATCTTTTTGATCTTTGCCCATGTTACTAGAGTAAACTTAACCCATTCATTATTAATTTTATTCTTTGTCCATGTGTTTTGGTTAACAAATGGGACAGTATCAAGAAGTATATCTTGGGAGTCGCCTTGTTCCATCTTGTACCAAATTGTATCTTCGTCTTGGCGTATCCATGTTATTATTGATCTAATTTGTGCGGCCCAGTAGTATTTTTTAAGGTTTGGTACGTTTAGTCCCCCATGTTCCTTAGGACACATAAGAGTTTTCAATCTAATTCTGGGGCGTTTATTTTGCCAGATAAATTTCGAAAGCCATTTATTCAGAATATTAAATATGGACATGGGTACTTTTATAGGTAAGGTTTGAAACAGGCGAGTACATTTTTTTATTTTATTCCGTTTTATTCCTACAGAATTACTTTGGATACTTTTAATTAAATTAATTCATTTGAAACCCTTTCATTCTGCCTGATGTTTAAATGAGCTAGTGAGCAAAAAGAGTGACTTAAAAAAAACATGCATAATCAAGTGACACATTTATGACTGCAGACTGAAGTGAATATATCACAAACATATCTTCCCTGCAGCATCACTGTGTGAAAAAATAACTAAAGAAAATAGTTGTGAGATCCCAGGAGCAGGCAAAGGGCCTGCATGGTGTTTGTTTCATCATGGCGGATGGAGCTCACTCACCTTGAGTCGAACACAGCAGGTGTATGGGACCCCACAGGCCAGTGCACTGGTCCCATTGCAGAAATGGTACTGGTTGACTCCCCAGTCCTTATATTCATCCCCTCCACAACAGGAAAACTGGAAAAGAGATGAGGCAGTCAGCAGTCAGACCACTATTTGAACATCAAAATAAGCAGATGTCAGACCAAACCCGACCGATACGTCACAACACCCCCCCCCCCTCCCCCACAGCGCCGTACACAGATCACCCATCTGTAGTCGCAGAAGCATGGTCGCTTGCATAGTTTTATTCTGAAGCACAGCACACTTAGAACCCAGCAAAGTTTTCCCCATGATGGAACGTTCTCTGCAATATTAAGGACCTCACAATGGATGCAACGGTTTTTGTATAAAACTAAGAGGATATGCTGATCTGGCAGAACACCGTCACTCACATTGCAACATCAAATGTCTCCTGGGATGCGACGGTTGACAAGATGGAATATTTTAAGAGTCACACATGCAAATGAACCGTTTGGACCGTGGGACAGAATAACAGCGGCCTGAACATCCAAGATTCTTCCTTTTCTTCTAAAGACTAAAGCTTTTGAAAAGACCAGCAGAGACGCTCGGATAAAGTAGCTAACCTTAATATCTCTGCAGATCAAGGACGTCAACAGAGTCACAGATAGTTGATAGGACCTTTGCGAAAAACTTCCAGAGGTACAAAAGATGTTTTTGCAGGGCACTGAAGCACATCCAGGTTTGGATTTAAGCTTAACTCTTCATTAGTTGGCAATTTTCCCAAGAAAGCTAGAAACGGTAAGAGCAGCGTTCCTACAGCATAAGGCAAGTTCAATTCAAGATTTTCTAAGACCTTTTTATGTCTTGTGGCATTAAAAGGAAGACCAACTTCACAATAAACACAAGAAAACCAGTCGCAACAAAGTTACACAAATTATTATTTTAACATAAACCATGACTTTCTGGCCGAGTAGAAATGTTTCAAATTTTGAAAAACTTTACATAAACAGTAGCAGCGATTCAAAATGGCCCTTCCCAATCAAATGCCAGAAGAATGGCAGCCCACTTCCCTGAAACTCCCAGCAAAATCCCCTCCAACTTCCAGCCACTGGCCTTCTCTTTTGCATGCATTTTTTTTACTCTGACTCCACCCTTTCACTGAATTACAGGGTCTGACCAGGAGATGGTGCTTCTCTTTAGATCTTAATGTCCACAAATCATGACAGAAAGAATATTTCAGTACAAAGATTGATGTTTAAAAGGATTTGTAGGGGGCCAGCCAAGGGC